ATGACAAAATAATTTATAAATTATCAAGGGTTCATAAGGGAGGTAGGAGTGGGGAGGGAGGAGTAAAAAATGAGGAGCTGATGCCAGGGGCTTAAGTGGAGAGCAAATGTTTTGAGAATGATGAGGGCAACAGATGTACAAATGCGCTTTATACAATTGATGTATGTTTGGATTGTGATAAGAGTTATATGGGCCCCCAATAAAATGATTTAAAAAAGAATAAAAAAATACCTGATGAATGAACTAAAAGAAAACACTGGAAGCATGAACAAATCTGTCTTGGATGAAGTTCTTAGTAGTGAGGCTGGCAAGGCTTTGCCTTGTGTCTCCAGAAGGAACCAGGTCCTAAAGAAAGACATCGTGCTTGCTCAAGTAGAGTCAGTGTAAGAGAGGAAGACCTCAGGAGGCAGACTGCCTCTGTGGCTGCAACAATGAACTCACGTGCAGCACCATTTGGGAGCACACCGCAGGCTGGTGCTCCACTCTGCTAAGCACAGGACTAACTTGGCAGCACCTAACAAAACCCACAACCATTTCATTTCCCCACTGCACATAAACATCAGGATGTCAAGCACATACGTAAGCAGTTATATTAACTATGATCATGATGGTACTGTCCAAAATGAAAAGCAGTTATATTAACTATTATCATGATGGTACTGTCTAAAAATGTCAACGGCAGAGTGGTTATCAAGATGAACGCTTTATTGAAAATGCTGTATATATTTGTTTTATTATAGGGAAATAATCAGAGACAAATGCATATTTTTATAGTCCTTAAAAAGACAATTTAATCCCTAATAAAATGATTTAAAAAAAAGAAAAGACAATTTAAGATTTCTGCCTCAGGCCGTGAGAGAGTTACCAGTCTCCAGAAGTGCTCCCCCACGGGAACACCTTGAGCACTACAAACTGGATAGTTTTCCTGAGACTGGATACTCACCAGCACAGCACTGAGATTCCCAGGAAAGGGAAACACGTGAGGAAAAAGATAAGTAATCCCTTTAATCTCTCCAGTCTCCCAACTGAGGATCATGTCTAGATTATGGAACACGGAGGAGATGGTCAAACAAAGCTGTCAGGATCCTTGCATTGAAGAGACAAAGGTTCAAGTCCAGAGAGGCCAAAGCACTTAACGTTTGCAGAGCACCCAAGACGGATGACGGCGCTATGTGGAAAAAGAGCACCATACATTTGCAGATCTTCTTCATACCTGTCTGTATATGCAAGTACTAAACTTCATCCGGCCAAAGAACAACATACAAGGAAAAGACAATTACGAGAGCCCTAGTGGCACTGCAGTTAAGCACTCAGCTGCGAATCAGAAAGTCAGGGAAGAAATTAGATGGTGTCCAGATATCCGAAAGAACGGCGTCTTGGGCCTTACAGGCTTCTTTTCAAATAGCCATCTAAGTGAGGTGTCAAGTAAGTTCATGTGGAAGAAGCACACCCACCTGTGTGATCCAAGGATTGTAAATAATATCATATACATTTAAAGGAGGGAATGGCATCAGAGCTGAAATTGTGAACCCTTGGTTCCTAGAAGGCTATGGATGAGAGTGGAAGCCCCAAATCCATTTGCAGGGTCCACACAAGGGTTAAACCTTCAGTGAGCCTCATAGCAGAGGGAAGTGAACAGCCTTGTCATCAGACAAAGCACTGGAAAGTCAATAATGGCAGACATAATTAGGTCAAAATGTAATATCTTCTCATTTGATTTTCCTTTTTAAAGCTGCTTAGGTTGAAAAAAAAAGTGAAGGGGAAACATATGGGGATTAAGTCCCTGGTGAATCTCCTCTGACTATGGACTGGGGATAAGAATAGCCTTACTAACATGCAGCATACACTGGAAAGTGGATTGTTGCGGACGCAGTGAGGCTGTTTAGCACCGTATCATTTGATCTCCCTTAGTTTTTAATATGTTCTTCTTCCTTTTCAATTGAGGTTCTTACCTTTTTTTTTTTACTTTGTTATTCTTGGTACTTTAAAAAAAATTATTGTTTTTCTGTATATGAAATCCAGGATAGGTACATCTATAGACAGTAACTGGATTAATGGGGGTAAGCCGGGGGTGACTGGGCAGAAACGGGGAGCAAATACAAGCACAAGCGTGAAGAAAATGTTCTCAAACCGATTGTGGTGATGATTGTCCAACTCTTCTTGATGGGACTGGAATACTGAACTGTATATGTTAATTATGTGCCAATAAAACTGTTGGGGGGGAAAAAAACCCAAATGCTTGCCTGCCTATAGTTTAACGTCAATGGTTGTATTGTTATGTATTTATTTATACTTTAGTTATCAAGTTAGTAGCACATACACTTGAGTATCAGAAAAGAGCCCTGTGGCTCAATGGTTAAAGCTCTGAGCAGGAGAAAAATCCTCCACAAGAAAAAGACCCTTCCATGAAGAGTTCAGCCTCCAGAACTGTGTGGGGCTCTGTCCAATCGACATGCTGACTCCATAGCAGGGGGGTTTAGTACCAAAGCAGTTCGAAATCTTACCGACTAACTATTCTAATCGCTTCATAATCAAGTGCCTGAGTTTTATTTTTTGTACACATTTGGCTGCATAGCGGTTACGATTTGGGCTCCACCGAAACTCCGGAGGAGAAAAGTGAGACTTTCTACTTGGAACAGTTACAGTTTCGGAAACCCACAGGGGCAGTCCTGCCGTCCTATAGTCCTATAGCGTCGCTTTGAGCCAGAATCGACTTAGTGGCAGTGGGTTTAATAACAAGAGAATAATAGGC